AGGCAGACCACAATGCTACCACACAGGAATAGTACGATACTGAAGGCCCTCACTACCGTCATAGTATCGACAGTGATGTTGCTTTAGTACTACTCACTCATAGAGCAGAGGAATACACACCATACCTCATCACCACAGCACTGCATCACAAAATTGTCACAACTGTATCAACGGTCGTATGAATCGAGAGCGTCGGCAGCGCAACTAAGATGTGGGTATAAACGAAATTGTTCGTGGACGACCACAAAGGCCAAAGAAAACCACTATTGAGGTTATCTTGTGAACGATGATGGTCAACAGCAGGCATGATGGAGGGATTGGCAGCAACTGGTGCATCTTCTAGAATTAATCCAGAAGAGGATTCTTTCGGATGGGACTCATGAGAGGTACCATCTGGTGCATGTAGACGAATGCCCAACTGAAAGGGAGAAGAAGGATGAGGGAATAGGTGGATGGGCAGAGATGCACTTACAACATCCACATGCAAATGGTCGTGAGCCACACAAGAAGAATGGAGAGTCTAGTGCCTGAAGGAGGGATGGTATTCTCCAACAACGCGAGTCCACTTACTCTCGCCCTTAGTAATCTTGGGGGTCTCCTTAGCAAACAGGATGGGGGCCACGAAAGTGAACACCACTCCCAATACGGCAAAGATGATGGTACCGGTGATAAGACCTGTTGGGTATGATAAAAGTCCAGTTAAAGCAAACGCCCCTTACCAGGAGCATGGAATCCGAGAGAGGCGGGTGCTGCAGCGACGACACTCATGATGGAGAAGAAGACAGTTCCGAAGAAGTGTGAGAAAGCAAAAAAACTCCTGAAGTGATGAGCCACATTATTACCCGCTTGTCTTCAAGCCATTCCTACCACTTCAGCTACGGGAGCTTGTCAGTAAATTTCGTCAAAAATGGTTTAGGAAACCACTAAGTTAAGCTGAGGACTCTTCGTATGAAAGGGGAATCTCAAGAGAGCAAGATTCAACTAAGCACGTCAAACGTGGTTGAACTCCGCACTTGTGCTGCTTTTTCTCATGCTGAGGTGGGTCTGAGTTCACTTTACTGTTCGGAATTGTTCTGACGGAGAGTATAGCGTCTCGCCTTGCCAGAACTCCAATCTTCCAGCGTCATTTTCGCACGAAAAAGAACGGAATCGCAGCTACGTAAAGCGAATTGAGATGCGACTCAAAATTTAAAGGCAGCAAGCAGTATTGGACTACAATTACATCCAAGTAGTCGCATACCTGACACCACAGAAGATTCATCCCACTCGACGTTTTCCGAGAATCCAAGAATCGCGCTAGACAGGTTGGCATGGGTACATATGGCTTAGCTCTCCATGCATGGCTTAATCCTCTGCTTACGACAGACGCCGTTCTTAATGTGGCGTATATGCGTCAGGCGAATTCGGCCTCATTTACAGCGATGTCAGTCTTCCTGTCGTGTGCTCTGCCGAAATTGATTGAACTTATCTTGTGATATCTTGTGGTATCTTGTGGTTATGGCATGGGCGTTCTCTCGATGGAATTAATGTCATTAAAAGCACAACAGACCATTGGAAAGTATAGCCGAACCTTCCATACGATCTGCACGGATCTTCGCTATAAAACTCTGAGTTCTGAAGTCGAACCCGGGTCGTGTCACAACTTTTGATTCATATATTAGAAATTCTGACTATGTTTCATGAGTGTGGGAGTATCTCAGAATTGTGTCGAAGTTGTGGTTGAGGGAGGCCTCGATGCGGATGATGCTCCTCGCTCTCAGTCTTCCTAGTAAGAAGGCTATCCAAACGTCGCTGAAAGAAGATATTCAAGAAGCGGTCGGCAGAGGGCTGAGTTTGATACTCTTGTTAATGGCAGGTATGTGAACGGACCATTCATGCTTTACGGGACGATTCAAGGTCTGCATCTTGGCTTGGATGCTATCTATACATCGTTCCGCACGACTATTGGAAAAAGCAGCATACCGGGGTACCCAGTCGTGAATCACTCATTCTTGACAAAACATAACCTTGGTCAACTTGGATGTGAAATTGCGACCACCATCACTCACCGACCTACGTGGCCATCCTATCCGGTTCCAAAAAATGCCGGAAATCACTCCGACCAACTCCACCGCTTCCAAAGATATGAAAGGAGATAACCAGCAGAAGCCACGTAAGCTATCTTCTATTACCAGCAGATACCGGTAACCAAACCACTCTTCAAGCAGGATATCAACTCTATCAGCATAAACTGTGGACCACACACCACTGAGGTCTGACGTCGACTGACCATCTTAATTTTTTCCACCTCCACACTGTATATAGTTAACTCAGTAAACTCAACTGGCGTTGCGAAAACAGATCTCGCATTGGTTCAGTGTTGTTGTTCAAACTTAGGTATGCTTCGATATCTGGCATTTCCCGAAGCTTTTGTCGTATATTACTCACCATAGGAATGCCTAACACGTACCCGCCTACTCAGTCCAGCACGAAAACCCGTCAGGGCGAACAGACTTCAAAAGATTTTCGTGTCGAAGCACCCCCAATGAATAGCCGTGAGGCTCGCTACGGCGAAGCACAGATGAGGAGTCGCGCAGTGAGGCAAATGGAAATCCCTCGCTGTCGAATGATTGTTGCCAGATCCCACGGATGCCACAAATGATGGGCATCCCTGAGAGGTAACCTCACTTCTGGGCTCCAACGTTCATGAAAGGTTGAGTCGATCTCCCTCAGCCCCTCCCCTTTAATACCAAAGAAGTCGCCTTTCAGAGACGACAGTGAGCCCGACAGGCGAGGTTCCCTCGGAGAAGGCCACGCTTTCAGTCGAATTGATTGAGAGCTGCCGAGGAACACCTCTCCACGACATGTATCTTCAGGCTGAGCAGTTACTATCAGGATTGGAAGATACCCCAGATAAGCAATCAATGAACATGAAGAAGGTAGGCCTCATTTGGCCCCAGGTGTATCACTCTGTTTTCAGGCATTGACTGAGCTCGTCGAGGTTGGTGCATCAGAGCTGGTCAGACGGGCAAAGGTAACGAATGCAGGTCTGACGGAGTGCTTCGACCATCATTCAGTTCGATGAGGAGACTACACGGCAGCGGGAATCAGCAGAGAAACGTAAAGTGCGAGAGGCCAGAAGACGAGTTAGAGAAGAATTCCTTATGGGATGGAGCGTGATACACGGGGACTCGAGGTGGAGTACCACCATGCTAGTACTCCTGACTCTGGTTTGCCCCCTTCAGTGTCCTCTACACCAGCACATCTCGTGCTCCTAAAGGCCATCCACAAGCGCATATGCGGCGGTCTACACGTCGGCAAAGAGCCCGGGAGGCCGCCTAACTCTTGCTGGGGGCAAATATTCGTCCCAATGGTCGCCTGGTTCGATAGCATCTTCAGATTCCATGAACATTATTCATCTATGTTATTAGTCTATAACACATCATTTATATCATATATATTGTCATGTATCACCGCATAGTACGTGCTTTTCATTGAGGAGTTGTTGAGTCATCTCAAGTCGATGCGTGGAACAGCCACTAGTTGGCTTTCCATTAACCCGATTAATAGCACTTTGGAAACTGTCATCCGCGACTCTGAACTCAAGTCTGAAGTTTCCAATGCAAGTCGATGGGCTGTAAAGTAAGGTCCAATACCGCTCATTAGAAAGCGTGTGACAAGGACTACAACAGTCAACACGGCTTGATAGCTCTATCGAAATATGGAGACAGGCGAATAGGAGTTCTCATCCTAAAGCCGTCTCGTCTCAAAGAAAATAATCGATGGCGTACGCGCGTTTTACGACGCCGACTCGCGTCCCACGCGTCACCATCTATAGCGCAAACCCGCTATGGAAAATGGGGTGGTGAGAAATGAGGAAAGTCATGCCTCAAGGTGACAAAACGATCAATATCGCAGACGATTGGGGTTCTCAATCTGGCAGTGCTCCATGGTGGGTTCGATAATATCTCATAAGCTTCTATCAACTCTTATCTCCTCAATTTGTTCGTAGTCATTGTGTGTAACCTTGGGTGTAACCATTAAACTAAACTTATCGTGCATCACACGAGGCACTGTTGTCTTTTTGGAGCACTCTTTCGGCCATGCCGCAGGGCGTGGCATCAGAGCGTCATCAAATTTTGACCTATGGTTTGTACGGCGATACCGTCACATTGTGGTTGCCGGTACGACTCCTCTAACGGTCGTCATAAAGCGGACCCCGAGAAACCGTCTTCACGGCTGCTCGGTTGCTTTGAGAGTATCCTCTCCCGACAGCCTTCTGGTTGGGAGAGGAGTTACAATCCGCGGCCTGATGCCGAGGGGCTGGAACTCGGACCCTGGCTGCTTGACGGTATAGAATGCAACGTGATGAATAACGAAGAGATGACCTAGGGCGTCCTCTTCGCAGCAGATCGAAATGTGTAATCACAAACAAAAAACCCACCATCACTGACGATAGAGCATTAAATTAGGTGAGATACCTCGAGTAGATGACGAAGAGCAAGCTGTTATTATTCCGTTGAGCCTTAGTCACCAGTAAAGACTTGCCACTTGTATCGCGACTTATATCCCATCAAGAGGATTTACGATTATTCCCCTAGACTTCCTTGTCCAAATAATCGCTGTTGTCTGGAATCACTACACAGCACTCCCTCAATTGAGCAACACGGTAAACTACTCATTGAGAAGAAAATGAAACCTCAATAGAGAGAAAAGGGCAAAAGATCCTCACATTTTGAGCGAGTCTTGCGATCATTGCCGACAGTATGTAAATTAAGAATGGATAGAGAGTTACTGAGTCATCACTTCGTGCTTCTCTTCCCAAAGCTTAACAGCTGGATGGGTCTTGATAGCGTCGAAAACGCGCGTTATTTTGGTGTAGGGTGTAAATAAATCTTCTGGGAGACCGCCCACGAAGGGGAGATGGAGCAATTCGTAAATGCCGTAAAGTGCCTACATTGAAGACGAGCTAATTAACGAGATCGGAATACCGACTTACGAGATCCGCAATAGTCAATGCATCACCGGCGGTGTACTCATGATCTCCCATACGCTCCTCTATCTTGCTGAAGAAGAAGGGGAGCACCTTCTTGTATAGGTTCTGAGGGAAAGAGATGTTGTACAGACAATCATCTCATTCACGTCGAGTCAGTAGACCTGATAAACCATCACTCACATTCTGAGCAGCGCCTCTCTCCTC